AATTGTAGGAGGTACACCAATATATGGAGCCCCTAAATTCTATATTGATGCAAATGAATCAGAAAAGGCAGGTTAAAAATCAGAAAATTTAAGTAAAGTGATTCGAAGCCCTTATGATTCTGTCCAAAAGTCAGATTTATATGCTATTCTGATGGTATTAATGGATTTTACAGAACTTCTTAACAGTTATTGACCCTAAGTATGCAGAAAGAGTTGTTTTACACCTTGAAATGGCTAAATTTATCCCTGATGAGTCAGAATTAACTTCACTATTTATTCAGTTATAAGAAATAATCAGGAATAGGAATGATCCCTTATATACAATACACATTCAATCCCATACAGGTCTGCCAGGACCTCTAGGACAAGATAATAAAGAAATTGATCAACTACTGATAGGAAATTTGCTTGAGGCCTCAAAATTTCATTTAAAAAACACCATGTGAATAGCAATGGTTTGAAAAAAGGATTTTTCCATCACTTGTCAACAAGCCAAGAAAATTACAAGTAAATGTTCTACTTGTTCTTTATACAACCAAATTCCACTACCTACAGAAATTAACCCAAAGGGTACTCAAAGGAATGAAATTTGGCAGATGAATGTGTTTCATTTTGTAGAATTTGGAAAATTAATATATGTACACCACACCCTTGATGCCTATTTAGTATTTCAATTGGCAACTGATTTGAGTTCTGAAAAGGCTGATTCTGTAATCATGCATTTGCTAGAAGCTATGGCCATCATGGGTATACCTGCACAAATTAAAACTGACAATGCTCCAGCACATGTCTCTGGTAAAATGAAACAGTTTTTTGCTTTTTGCAATATGAAGCATATTACAGGTATACCACATAATCTTATAGGCCAACCAGTCATAGAAAGATCAAATCAAACACTTAAATATATGCTAAATAAACAGAAAGGGGTAACAACCCCCCCCCAGAAATAGATTACATAATGCTCTATTAACTTTGAATTTTCTCAATGCTAGTGAGAAAGGAACAACAGCTGCAGAGAGACATTGGGTAATTAAAAAAAATCTACAGAACTAAATCAGCCTATATACTTTAAGGATGTGCTGACTTCAGAATGGAAACCAGGATATATGTTACATTGGGGAAGAGGTTTTGCTTTTGTTTCTACAGGAGAAGAAAAGCTATGGATACCATCAAAATGGATAAAGGTTTGATTTGAACAAGAGAGACCTCTTAATTAGAAGAGATGATAGTTCATCAACCAGCATGACCATTCAATCCAAACTAACTTATATGACTAACAAATGCTTTTCATTTCCTCAGATATAACTTGGCAAAAGGGAACCTCCCCAAAGTTAGGGCTGGGAAAGTGTTGTGTTTTTCTCTTTTCAGTAGAATAAAAGTTAAGGGATCTGAAGACCACTGGACAAATGAGACATCAGAAGAAAAAGAACAAGTCACCCAGAAAAAAAAATGTTCCAAGAAAGAGAGTAAATTGGCCTATTGATATATCACATTTTCAATTGAATAATATTTCATAAGTCTCCCTAAATGTTTGTTTCTGTTGTTCTCTACAGGCACATAAATCAAATGGTCTGTATGTAGTCCCAGTTCAATTAAAATTAAAAATTAAAGCTGGCTTTGGAGTTGGAGTGTGGCTCTCTTCTTCTCTAAACCCAAGCATGCTTGTTAAAGTAAAATCCAAAATCTCTGTCTCATGTCAGAAGAGCAACCTGATATGGAACAGAAGAAAACCAAAATTAAGGGACTATTTTATTGCCACTAATTTCACAATCCTTTGGTTTTATTTTAACTCTTTAGAGCTTTTTAAAGAATAAATATTATCCCAAAATTTATAAGATTAATATATATATATATATGTATGTATATATATATATATATATTAAACTTCTTATCATGATATTAATGGTCATATAGAGTACTAACTAGTTCTAGAAATAAAAAGCTTCATCTAGCATCCTGTACATGATTTCAGGTTTGAGGCTCTATCAAGTAACTAGGAATTAAATTTTTGTACTCTAGATGTACATAATAAATATTGATCCTTTAACCTCTTTGAGATACGCTGCATATGACATTTAAAATGTTTAAGTTTTCTGCAGTGAACCAAGACTATGCCTAACAGAGAACTTTGAAGTCTCCAAAAGGATGATGGGGCCCCACAACAATTCCACATAGACTGTGAAACGCCACTACGCTGAAAAGCACCACCTGAAGGCTTTGGACTACAAACTGCTCAAGGTGCTTGCTGAGATGATCCAGCCTCACAGACTACTCTAGCCAAGACTTGAGACAAGTTCTGTACTTTCCCATTACTTAGAAACTAAACAACAAATTATACTGTTATTTCTCCCAGGACTTGACAATTAACCCAATTTTTTCTTTTCAGGATCCCCTAAAGATGCCATTGCCACCAGACAGCAGGAAGTGAACTTAAGAACATGACACCCACATTCCCAAGAGGTGAGGGTGGGTGGTTTTTGGTCTTTCAGTGGGTTGTGGATATTTGTCTTCATTTAGGGTGGTTGGTTACAAGTTGCTATTGGTAATGGTCAGGAAAAAAATCTGAATACAGATTAGATTAAGGGTTCTTGTTTTAAAAAGAAAAAGGGGGATATGGATATGATAAGATTTAAGGGTAGATTATGAAACCTGCTCTGAAAAGAAATAGGGGGGATATAGACATAGAAAATAGGTAGGTTATTTAATTACTTTTAAACCAAAAAAGCAACTACTAGTTTTAAATATTTTACATTGATATGGACCTTTGTGTATTTTTGCAAAGTTGAGATTAATTTTAGAGCATACTGTACATAACATTTCTAATCTTGTTCAAGGTGTTATACATATACATCTCATTTAACAATGTAATGCAAATTGCTTGTCCTTGAAAGTTATTATTACCAACTATTTAGAATAATAAATAAATGCATGTTAGTAGTTAACCACCTATTATAATCAAACTTGTGGAAATCTTAGGTATGTTTTCAGGGTCAAACAAATATATTTTAGGTAGACAGGTGGTCTTCAAACACTTCAGAGATCTACATGATATGGCATTTAGGATGTTTTAATAACATAGGTTCTTTTTTATGACAATGAGACATGTCTGCTCCTGGCAGCACCAATCTGCTTCAGAGAAGGTAATGGGCATCAAAGAAACTCCATATGGAGTTTACTTTCTTTCTTTTTTTTTTTTTTTTTTGGTTTTTTGAGACGGGGTTTCTCTATGTAGCTTTGCACCTTTACTGGAACTCGCTTTGGAGACCAGGCTGGACTCGAACTCACAGAGATCCACCTGGCTCTGCCTCCCAAGTACTGGGATTAAAGGCATGTGCCACCACCGCCCAGCTTGGAGTTTACTTTCTTTCTTTGTGGCATAAGTTAGCCATTGGTCAAGAAAATGCCCTTGTCTTAATTGTTGGCAGTTACTATTCAAACTGGACCATCAAGATACAAAAGAAAGGGGAGGCAGAGGCAGGCAGATCTCTGTGAGTTCGAGGCCAGCCTGGGCTACCAAGTGAGTTCCAGGAAAAGGTGCAAAGCTACACAGAGAAACCCTGTCTCAAAAAAACAAAAAAAAAAGATACAAAAGAAAGAACTACTGACTTGATCAAGACAAGGTAGGACATCTCTTCAAATATCTTGCTTTACAAAAAAGTCTGTGAGATATGCTCAGCCTGTAGTCCAAAAATGGATGTCCCAACATTACAGAGGAACAATGGGTGACTATCCAGGCAGCCAATTGTTTCTGTCATTGCTCACATTTTTGGAAGTTCCTTGTTTGCACTTTCTGCTTACTCAAGTAATATTATTTTCTTCATGGGTCTCTGATGGAGTTGAAGACTTCATAGTTATTGTTATAGTTTTCCTTGTTACCAGATTCAGAAAAGAAATTCACTAAAGAGGTGTAAAGTATATGAAGTTGAAAGATATTAAAAGATAGTTTTGGAATATTTCAAATAGAAAGTGAATTAGGTATAACCTTTTGGACTCAACAAGATAGGATAGATACAGAGTATTTTCTCTGAATTTGTCAGTTGTTAATTGACTAGACAATGTTGATATATTTATTGCCTATTTTTTGCATATAGATATTGTACTTATTATATATAGTTTTTCTTATATTAGTTATAATGTGCTTTTTTATTTTAGACAACAAGGGGAGAAATGTTGTGATTTTTTGTGTGCTCTAATAAATAAAGCTTCTCTGGAGATCAGAGTGTAGAGCTAGCCACTAGAGGCAAGGCAGTGGTTGCACACATCATTAATCCAAGCACTTGGGATCTCTCATGCCTTTGACCCCAATACTTGGGAGGCACATACCTTTAATCACAGCACTTTGGAGGAAGAAACAGGAAGTGATATGGCTGGGTGGAGAGAAGAAGTGATAAGGCAGGGTGGAAACAGGAGCTCGACCCTACTGGTCTGAGGATTCAGTAGAGGTAGAGGTAAGAAATCTCTCTAGTGGCTGGCTGCTTTGCTTCTCTGATCTTTCAGCATTTGCCCCAATATTTGACTCCGGGTTTTTATCATTAAGACCAAATAGAATTCACACTACACACACACACACACACACACACACACACACACACACACACACACACACTCATACACACACACTCATACACACACACTCATACACACACACTCATACACACACACACACACACACAC